TCTAAATAACTTAGGAAGACACTTCTTCATTAAAAAATTTCAAAAAAGTTTATGCAGCTGATCAACTATTTTCTTTTGCAGCATATTCTGGATTCTTGTATACTTCTTTATCCTTTTCTATTAGTTTCTGTTGTTTCCCCAGATACAGACACCCTTAATAAATTCTGTACCATTATTCGTTCCTTATGTCTGTCTTTGTTTTCCTGCTGTAAGACCACTTGACATTAGATGTACACATTAAGTAGATCTGAAGAGTACAATACATTGACATTGTAGTACACACCATAGGTACAATGTCTCTGGAAGTTTTTCCTCTTGGATAACTGAAAGTCAGTAGTCATTGATTAGGAATTCCCAACATCCTCCTATTACAGCCTCTGGAAACTACCATTCTAGTCTTTCTTTCCCTGAGTTTGACTTTAATACACCTGATGTGAGTGGAATCATGTAGAAGTTATCATTCTGTGACTGGCTTATTTCACTTAGCATAGTATCCTCAAGGTTCACCCATCTTATCGAAAAATGGGAGAATTCCATCTGTTTTAAGGCTGAATAGTATTCCATTGTATGTCTGTACCATGTTTTCTTGACCCATTCATTACTTCCATGTCTTAGCTACTGTTAATAGTGTTGCCATGAATCCTGGAGGGCTAATATCTTTTCAGCATTCTGATTTCAATTGCTTACATAAGCACTCTGAAGTGGGTCTGCTGGATCATATGACATTTGTTTTTAATTTTCAGAGGAACCTCCATTCCCTAGTCCACAGTTGATACCTCATTTATAATCCCACCGGTATGCACATTCTGTCAACACCAGTACTCTATTGAGAAATTTTTTTTATAATAGCTAGACACAAAATTCCAATATTTCATTTAACCCAATGTTGAAATAATATCCCAATGTTTAATGCAAATTGCATGATCTTGCCTAAGAAACTAGATGACCAAGGAATAATGTCCCTCTTTAGGCCTTAGTTGGGCAACGCCAAAATCCCACCTGGGCCTCTTTCAACTCCATCCTTCCATGGTAGACCAACTGCCTGCCTTTTGAGAAACACACATTCATAATCACAAAATACTCAGTCAGGCTGGTGTAAGTTCTGCTGATCTTGAATCCAGTATATTTATTTAACACGGATTTGTTTAAATTGGCTCTTTTCCTACTTGTACCACTTTTACAGCCCCCTTCCAAGGATAATCTGATCTCCCTCCTTTTCCTGTCTTGTGGCACCCAAGTGGATAGCACCAATTGTCATACTTCAAATTTGTTCATGTAAATTTTCATTTGTTTCCTCCCTGACACAGCATTTGAGAGCCAGTGACAATGTTACTTGTCACACAAGTCAATTTCTATTTTTCAGTAACTCAGAGTTTCTTTCTTTAATTCCTTTCAAAGTCCAAACGTAAGACTCACAGTGGTAGCTCTTCTGAAAGACCCAGGGGCTCTCGGTTTTGTGTGTGGTCATCGGATGCCACCAGCTTCTTGGTTGTGTTTTCCCATCGCACTTTGCCCCCAGGTCTTCTTTGGTGAGTTCAGCTGATGCTTACACACACTAATAAGTTGCTCTTTCGAAAATTTGAATAGAGGGCAAAAGACAATTCTTCAATCATGGTCTGCGGAATAAAAAAAAAAAATATATGGCTGTAGAGATGGCCCATCTGAATTTCAGAACATTGGTACAGCCTCTTTTCTGTGTTTCACAAGCCCACATCAAAGGTCAGCTATGGCTACAAGTTCCCCCTTGAAACTCCCCTCGCGGTGTGTCTGCCAGAGAAGAACCCTGGGGATATTCCCGTATACCTACTGTAAGAGCTCTGTTTGTATATGCTATAGGCTTGAGAGGGTCCTCAGGAAACCAGGACACAGTGCCATAACCAGGCAAATTTGGGCCACAGGAAGGTAGAGGAAATAGAGTGAGGACAGGAAAACAAATTTATGAAATGAAAAGTCAGTATATATATATATATATATATATATATATCCCCCATGAGACAGAAGGGAGCCAAGACCATGCCATAGGCAGCAGATCGAGACCACATGGGATTGTTAACAGAAACGTGAAGTTGGTCCAGCGTCTTAATGTGTTCCAGTGTTTTAACCACATTTGCTGAAAAAGGTACAATAATGATTTCATTTGCTGAGAGCCACAGCCGAGTAGGAATGGCACATGGCATTTTTGCCAGAAGGGAGTGGTTGAGAGGTGACATTGAGATGATGATGGTTATGTTAAGCTGTGTATTCAACTGTATATTAGACCCCTGTTGTCCACCTCCGGCACCGGCTACTTTGGAGTTCTCATGGGGATTCCTGGAGAGTTTGCTTTGGTTGGAGAAGTTCCAGAGGAGCGATTTCCGGTTGGTGTGTGGTGTTCCTGCAAGGGCCCGTGGGTGGCGTTTGTGAGAGTTGGGCAATAAAGGAGGTCCTGTTTTGAACCTAGAAGTGCCTTGTGGGTTATTTTGTGCCCAGCCAGACTGGGGCACATTGTATCCACTCATACAGAAAAATAAAAGCATTTTACAAAGGTGAAAAGCTTTTCAAGACAGAGTGCTGTAACATATTGAGAAGGAAAAGAAAAAGACATGACTGTTAACTAAGAAGGCTAGTTTTATTCATAAGTGAGTTGACCAAGTGGTGGTAGAATAGGTGCCAAATTCGCCTCCTGTATGAAGTTTTTGGACATCTGATATCAGAGACACCACAAAACAGACACATTCCTAGGCCCAAGTGAAGGGTCAGCTATTGTCCCTGGACGAAAGCTGCCTCTAAGTACCTGGAAGAACACTTCAGCAACTATTTCAATCATGGCCCACCTTTCAGAGGTATTATCTGTAGCAAACCTATTGGGAATTCTACAAAATATTACTTAGCTAGTGACATCTGGAACTGTTGGTTTTTAAAGTCATTAGGTACAAGTCACTACAGGGACGAGAAGCAGGTAAAGACTAGAGAGGGTTTAATTATCACTAGTGAATTTTTTTTTTTTTTGCCCTCATGAAAAGAATCTAGAGAAAAGAAAAGAAGGATCATAAACGATGAGGAAAAGTGGGGAGCTCTCACTCCATAGGCAGGGATTATAAAAAGAAAAGTATTTGATGCACAATTATACCAGAGGGTCTACCAGTGAACCAAGGCAGGAAAAAATGGAAGATAGATTATGTTGAGAAGAACAGAAGCATCAAGACCATGACAGAATTAAGCATTAGAAACTGTTTCACTCCAAAAAATTTACAATAAACTGTTTGGATATCACATAAACGTACAGTAATGATCATATTCAATATTCCCCATGCAGCAAAATTTTATATTTTAAATTAAAACATATAGCATGCATTAAAAACAAAAGATCTAAGAATAAATTTAGGGAAAAATTGACAGGACCATGACAAAGAAAAGAATAAAGATTTCCACATGGGAATTAATAGACAATTCTATGCCCGTTTGTATATCCACCAGAAAAGTTTGTACACATGACAGCGAGCTCGGTATGAAAAATCTATATAGCAGCATGAATATGCCTAGCCCCAATCTGCAAACAAGCTGCCCGTTAATCTAGAAGACAAGCAACAGACAATTTTCATCCAATTCAGTCTGTGGAAGATCTTACAACACTGAGAGTTAGCTGCCTTCAGATAAATACAAGGATGCACCACACACAAAGAACAAAAATAGAGAGGAAACCAATTCTATTATTTGATCAACCTAAGAGTGAAAATAAGTCATTGCCAACTTAGATGGTTCGATTGAACAAAGGGATGAAAACCCGTTAGAAAAAAGTGGCAGAATATAATCTGCAGGTTATGGGTACACGTCTATATTCTAAGTTGTATTGTTTTAAAGAAATGGTAGTGTTATGCTTGAATTCAGGACCCCCAAAGACCACCAGAGACCCAAGATCGATATAAGCAGCAAAGAGGTGTTTATTGCGAGCTAGCTCGGTCCTCCAAGCACACACACAGCAACTGGTGACGCTGAGAGGCCCCGAGCCCAGGGTTTGCAGCAGTTTTATACATTTTTTGGAGAAGGCAAGGACTTCACATACATCATAGCATCCCTTAGCAAATCATCACACACCGCGGGAAAATCAAATAACAACTCTAAAACATGATTAGCACATTCCCTGATGGGAACAAGTTGGGTAGGGGTGATCGGTCAGTACAAAAGGGGTATTCGTTTGAACTGATTGGTTTGAGCCAAGAGGGGTGTACATGCTGAACTACATGGTTTCCAACTTGTTATCAACCACCATAAACCACTGGCATCCCAGGTATTTCCCTGTCTCATGCTGATTGGTGGCTGCTAGGGGGCTGCTATGGATCCCCACCTAGCCTGACTGAGTCAGGGACACCTGGTGCAGCACTCTCCTGTTATTTGTAGATAAACAACTCAGCAGGGTGGGAATGTGCTTAGGAGTGCTCTGTGGGTCTTTCTAAGGACTAAGGTCATGTCCCTTCCTTGGACAGGCTTTGCTCTGAGGTAGAGGCTGGGTTTTCAGTAGACTGCAAAATATTTTGAATGTTAGTCCTCACAGAACAGAGATGGAAGGTGGAAGAGCCCGGGTAGAAACAGATACCTCTAGGAGCCTTCGGTCAAGATCCTCTGGGTAAACACATGTGCTGTTCCTTCCTGTGAATACAGCAGCACCATGCTCCTATCACAGACACCTCCTAATATAAATACAATCAAAGGAAAAATATTCTAAAAGGAAAGCTGCACTGATCCGTCCAGAGCAGCATTAGCCATCCCATTGACCCAAAAGATTGATCAGAGCACCAAGGATGCCAAGGTTCCTCTGCTAGTCTTGAGTGAGGATCCTCTGGGTAAGCACAGGTGCCAATTGTCCTGGTGAATACCACAGCACCAGGCTCCTCCCACAGACACTTTCTAATTTGAATACGGACAAAGGAACAAAGCTCCAGAGGAACAATGGCCTCACCCTCCCAGGATAGCAGGACACAACACATGACCAAATTGATACTCAGAGCACAAAGGATGCTAATGAGGAGACTGTCTTCCTTTCATCTGGAACAGTTCCTGTGAGTTGACACCTCTTAGGAAACAGATTAAACACTTCCACAACACTCATCACATTTACATAACAAATTCTTCCACAACAAACAAAAACTGAGTGCAGACAATAACATGAACAACAACAAGGCAAAGGGCTGCTGATTGGTCCCAACTTTGGAAACCCCATGGATAAAAGAGCCCAACTGCAAGGAGTCCTCATATCCTGCAAACTCACTCACCTGTGAACAGGATCCCACCCTCCACAGCTCACACCATGGCCCGCTCCAGCTGCTCCTCTTGTTGCAAGCCTACCTGCTGCAGAACCACCTGCTGCAAGACCACCTGCTGGAAACCAGCCTGTGTCACCAGCTGCTGCAGCACATCCTGCTGTCCACCCAGCTGCTGTGAGCCTTGCTGCTGCCCTAGTTGCTGCATCATTCCCTGCTGCCAGCCCTGCTGCCCTCCTACTTGCTCTCAAACCACCTGCTGTAGGACCACCTGCTCCAAAAAGTCCCATGTGACCTGCTGCTGCAGCACACCCTGCTGCCAGCCCTCCTGCTGTGTGTGCACCTGCTGCCAGCCTTGCTGCCCATGATCAACTCCCAAAGACCAAGGTCTACAAACCCTGCTCAACCTGCTTGACTTACCTGCAATTCCCCTCCTACCGAGGCTTAAAACCATCAGACTGTCATCAGAAATTATGTTCATCATCCCCCAAGTAAGACCTTGTGAATCACCTTGGGGGAGTGCAGACCACCCCACTCCCATCCTCTTCTTCCTTAGATCTTATGGACCTGGTTCAGCTTCATAGATCCTTGAAGGGGAGCTGTGGTCTTGATTAGAATTGTGGAGCCAAATCTTTATCTTTTCATCTAAATAACATAGAAGCACACTCCCTCAGAAAAATTTATAGCTATATGCAAGTGCTCCTTCATCTTTACAGTCATGGTTTCTTTCCCAGTGTTCTCCTTATTCCTGTTTGCCATTCTTCTGCCAGAATCACCTTCAGTTGGCTTCCTTGGTACATCCCTTCTTCATAAATTCCTAATAAATTATAAACCTTTATTCATTCTGTATTGTCTTTCTTTACCTTCTTCTGCTGAGACCCCCTAATATGATCAATTTTAAGTGCAAAGTACATTGTCATTGTATCCCACTCTGTAGCACAGACCCCCAGAAGTTGTTCATCTTGCAAAATTGAAATGACATACCCATTGGTTGGCAACTCCCTACCTCCACCTACCCCAGCCTCTGAAATCCACCACTCTATTCTGTCCCTATGATAGTTGACCAACTTTATATACCTCATATAGGTGGAATCCTGCTAATGCTAATGTTTTCCCTGTACTTGGCCTACTTCATTTAGGGTACAGGGCCAAGTTTCACCCATGTTAGCATAGGGGGAAGGATTTTACCACTTTCATGCCTGAATAGTATTTCAGGGTGTGTTTCTATCCTATTCTCTTGATACATTCATCTGTCGATGAGTAGTTGGGTTTCCCCACAACTTTGCTCTTATTCGTAGTGCTTCCTTGAACATAACAGTGTTGATGTCTTTTCAAGTTTCTGATCCTGTTCTTTCCCCTACAAATCCAGAAATGGGCTTTCAGGACCATATGGTGTGTCTAAGTCTGTTCTTTTTAGGAAATTCCATACTGGCTCCTGCATCATTAGATATTCCTTTCTGTGTAGAAATGTCCACATCCTTGTCAAAACCCTTATTCATTCAGTACTTTGTGGAAGAGCCACACAATATCACAATACCATGATGATTGCAATGTTCAAACAATATGGCCTGAAATGTCATGCAATAAGACAAAATACCTGGTCTTGCCTAAGGAACTACAAGATCAAACAACAATGCCCCCACCCCCATGCCATGTTCAGCTGGGCCCTGAAAATGTTGCCATTTCTCCCTCCTCTCCACCAACACACCTGCACTCCTAAGGTATACCACCTCACTGCCTTTAAAAACATCAATATTCATTTTCAGAAAATCCTCAACCAGGTTAGAGGAAATACTGATGACCTTGAAGCCAATCTTTCTCCCTGGACTTCTATGCAATAAATGGTCTCTGCTCCTGCTAATGTCAGCTTCAAGTTCCACATTCAAAGAAGAACCTCCTGTATCTTGTCCCATGGCAACTAAGTGACCAGCACAAACAGGGATGTCTCTGACCTTTTTTTGTACAAATTTTCATTTGGTGCCTTCCTTATATAACATTTAGAGCCCTTTAGGATATGCCATGCCATATAAATCCAGTTATATTTTTGGACACATCAGTATTTCTTCATCCATAATATGAGTTTCTAAATTCCCAAAATAAAGTTATAATCCAATGAAAGGTCAGTGTTCAGAGAGTTACAGGGGCTCTCCTGCTTTATGTGACATTTGATTGGGTGACAAATTGATATCACTGGCTTCTTGATTGTTTCTCAAGGACATCTTTCCCCCAGCTTCTCCTCAGTGGGTTGAGCTGATACTCACTATCTTGCAAGTAAGTTTCTCTTCTGATCATTGGAGTGTAGGCTAAAGGCACTGCTTCATTCATGCCCTACAGAATAATACAATCTTGATGTAACAAT